CCCCAAAACCCCAAAACCCCAAAACCCCAAAACCCCAAAACCCCAAATAATCAGCTATAAATTGAGGTTTAAATAAAGTATAAATAAAGATGAACAAAATGTCAGTACACGATAAGCAATTAAAGAAAATTCAAATGTTTAATAAAGCTATAAAGAGCGATGATTCTAATTTAGCAACAGAGTTTTTGAATGGCTCGAGATGGGATGTTCAGGTAAGAGATCATCAAGCAATTCCTTCAATTCTTACCTCAAGTTGCTATTTAAAATTAAACACATGTTCCTGATTTCGATAGATGGCTTATGATTGCTAATCACTTATATAGAAAGCTATTCAGTGCTATCATCTTTACTTATGAGTTAAAGATAAGGATAGTGGCAATTCTATTGTGTATAATCGTCGCAGTGAGCCTACTCACAAGAGAAGGACGTCTGAGCAGAAGCTAAAGCAGAAAAATAATAGAAAACCCCCTTCAAAGAGAGTGAACTCGACAAAGGCTTTGCCAACATCTAACTGGGCTAAGTCAGATTTCATTTCTTCTATTATTGAAGGCGTAAGTAACTTTGTTGATACAAACCTGAGAGACAAAGGTAAGGAAATATGCTAGACTAGATTTTTAGTACTTTTAATATTATCTCAGTTCACTAATCATACTAAATTTTTCTTTTAGATGGCTCCCATGCTTCTGAGAAAAAGGAGAGCTATGTCTCAGAGAAGCCCAAAAGAATTACATTTTCAAAGATGGAATCCAATGAAGTAGGAGAGACTGATGAATCTGGCCCTTCTAAAATCCCAATTGCTGAATATAAAAGCCAAATTAAAGAATCGTATGAAGAGGAAGATATGAAGGGAGATGAAGAAGGATCTCATTTAACCGAATATCAAAAACACACCTTGACCACTTTACTAAGCAACATAACAGAAGAAGATGGAGAGAGCACCTCGAGGCTAACAGCTTATTTTGGTGAGTCTCTTGTAGATGATAGTCCAACAAACCCTTTCATGGTAGAAGAATTCAGCCCAAAGAAGATATAATTTTTGTTAATAACTTTCATTTAAATTTTTCTCTAAGAGTAATCTACTCTGTCTAAAAGGATTGAATTGCATTAGTGAAGTTTTTCATGCCCAGACATTGTCCCCAAAATCATTGGCAAGTAATACTTAAAAGAGTTCCCTTTTTTGGCCAAAACAGTTTTCAGATGATTTTAAGAAGATAAGTACTCCAATAGTGTCAGCCAAATGATCATATCTTTTTCCTGGTGAATTATAAGGCATTATGAATTTCCCTGTCACCAAGCTAATATTTTATAATAGTATTTTAGTTGGACAATTAGTACTAAAAGATTAGTAGTCCTTATTCTTTCCAACTCAGGTATGATCCATGTCTTCGGAAGGCGAGGGAACTTCATGATAGCATTTGAATCTTTAGTACAAAGTCTATAATGTTGAGAATATCGTTGCTAAACTTATCGTTGTTGTAATCGGATCTGTCCTTATATTTTTTGAATAATTCGATTGTTCAATCTCATGGAAACCTTCTGGGGTTTTGGGGTTTTGGGGTTTTGGGGTTTTGGGGTTTTGGGG